ATCAGATTGTGGGAAAACAAGAAAAACAGATATCAAATAAAGAAAGGCAGACATTAATCTGTACCCATCCGTGGCGCCCTCAAACTGTCCATTTATTAAATTCTACTCTGTTATCGCTTTCTTTCTCTGTCTTTGTCTTTCTTTCTCTCCTTCTTTCATTTTCTCCCTCTCTCTCTCTCTCTCTCTCTCTCTCTCTCTCTCTCTCTCTCTCTCTCTCTTTTCATTCTCTCTCTCTTTCTACCTTTCTCACGCTTTCCTTATTTCTTTCTCTTGACCTTTCTCTCTCTCTTTCTACCTTTCTCACACTCTCTTCATTTATTTCTCTTGACCTTTCTCTCTTTCTCTATGTGTCTTTTTCTCTTTCTTTCTCTCTCTCTCTCTCTCTCTCTCTCTCTCTCTCTCTCTCTCTCTCTCTTTCTCTCTCTCTCGTTCACTTTGTTTTTTCTTTTATTTCTTTATGAATTTCCCTTTTTCTTTCTCATTCTTCCTTTCTCTCTCTCTCTCTCTCTCTCTCTCTCTCTCTCTCTCTCCATTCTCCCCCCCCCCCCCCATTCTTTCTCCAATGTTAGTCGTGATACTTTGAACTTTAAAAAAAAACTTGTCCACAATAAAGTACAGCTTACTTTACTTCACAGTGACGGGGCCGGGGACAATTAATTGATCGAGCTGTTATGTTCTGAATCTCTTCTTTGGGTTCCTTTTTTTTGTGGGGGGGGGGGGGGATTCGTTTATCGTGAGCCTGGATATTAAAAAGGATTCTTGGATTGTCTGCCCGAGACAGTTAGCTGCTTGCCAACCTTTTTTTTAAGACAGCACCAACTTTCGCCACCTTTTAGAGGCCAAAGTTTTCTTACCGCCCACATAAATGTCGTCATATTTCTAAGTGTGGCATTAAATCAAGATACGGAAATACCTTAACTGTGACGGCATTTTCTCTCTAAGTTTCTCTCTGAAACCAGGCGACCCCCACCTCCTTCCATCGCAAATATCTCTACTTGAATCCAAGATAAATAGGTATTGTTTTAACCGAAAGTAAGGCAAATGGACAGGCGTTAAGATGCCACCAATAACTCCATATAGCTATGTATATAATTGTTATAACACGTAATTGTTACAGATGGATGTTCAAGAAACTGCAGTGTTGAATTGCAATTGCCAAACATACGTGGGTTATACCAAATAAGTAGTGTAATCAAATTATAATATACTTGTCACGAAGCAGGTCAACCTCACCGCCCACCAAAATGATACAATCTCCCATTAGTTGGTGACAGGGCAAAGACTGGCAAGCCCTTGATTTAGTTTGATATCATTTCTGCGGGTACAGATATAACAAAACACACCACCACCAACAACAACATATAATATAGGGTACCTGCGTACAGACCTAAGATAAACGGTGACATGTTATAAAGACTTTTAATAAATACTCGTAATTGCATGTGATTTACACCCCCATCGACACAATACAGATAATTTAGCAGGCGGGCTACTTCGAGCACACAGAGAGAAAGAGAGAGAGAGAGAGAGAGAGAGAGAGAGAGAGAGAGAGAGAGAGAGAGAGAGAGAGAGAGAGAGAGAGAGAGAGAGAAGGAGCGCGAGAAAGAGAGAGATAAAAGAGTACTGAATGAAAAAAGAGCCCAGAAAAGCCCAGACGTCCTGCACTGTCAGAAGTGAGCCAGCCTTGATACCGGGCGGCTCACGGTTCGAACCTCGTTATAATAACTTTTTAAAAAAGATGAATTAAATGTACATGTTTTCTTGTCCCACTCCATGGACACAACTGTGAGGCAGCGTGGTCAATTCAGGCGATCGTCAAAAATAATGATATTGAAGAAACTGCCAATTTTCTGCCTCTTTGGCAATTTTTATCATTTTTTGGGGGGTCTTTTGGCTTTACGTCATTGTTGTCCCATTAAGAACATAATTTCTGGGTGGATTTTTTAATAAGAAAAACGTTGATTAAAGGCCAAAAAAAGTAAGTTCTCAGTTTCCAGAGACTATCAAGACTTGGAACTAACCAAGCTATGGCGGCCATCTTCTCGCTAATCCTACCTCTGAAACCAGGCGACCCCACGTTCTTCAAGCTCAGAAATCTTCACTTCTATTTAATAAGATAGATGGTCATTTTTGTCCCCGATGGCAAGACAACTGAGCAAGCTTTGAGATGATACGGTACCGATAACTCCACATGACCAAAAATTGACGAGCGCCTGATTCCACCACGTCCTGACACATTTAGATCATGTAGGAATCGAGTTTCCGGCCGGCCCTCTTCTGTCGGGGCCAACCTCTGGGCTGAGAGGGATACCACAACTCAGACAAAAGACCG